TTAAAAATTACTCATTTAAATGAATATTCTTAGATTCCTTGAAATTTTTGATAAGCAACTCAAAGTTGATAACCAAATGGCTTTGTATCTAAAAGAAAACTTGTTCGACATCAATCTAGATGAACATGCAATCCAAACCAATAAGGTTTTCATTAAAAAACAGAATATAATAGTTTATAATATATGTATTTGTAGGATTCTGAGAATGAAAAAGTGGATCAAATCCTTTGAAACATAAGCTAAACAAGATCTCGTTGATATTCTATTTAAGAATGGAAAAGGATTTGAACAGCATTTTAATGACTGAAAGACTTTTTTCGTCTTTTCTATGAATAAATATTGTTTATGAAACTAATTCTTATATCAAATTATCGGTTCATTTTTAAGGCTGCATATGAGGAAAATGAAATAAACATTTGTCTTCGATTGAACTCCAATGTGAATAGTTAGTATCATATGAAGAGTCAACTCTCATCAGTATTGATTCATTGAACCCAGTTTCCCAGATTTTGACCTGGAACTCAAAAAGCATTCCATGTGAGGTGAGTTGTGAGCTTTTTCTCTTGTCTCTTCAACAACATATCTGTGATGATTTTTATGAAAACAACTTCAATCCTCCTGTTACTGTACTGTTTCTAAATGATGCCATCCTCAGTATTTTTTCGCAAGCTTTACTAGCCGGAGTTAACGAAAAACGTTCACGATATTACATCCCATTCTTGATTTTGTTAGCGATTGATATAATGTTTTACTTTCTCGCAACTCTCAGTTTTAACTTATGCTATCTACTGGCATTTCAAATTAGAAACAAATCTCCATTTATTTATGACAAAGATTTTGAAAAGAGCATGATTTCATACTTAGTTGGATACTCCATTACAACGTTATTTTTCAAAATTTTCGAATTTTTGTTTTCTCATGCCGAGTTTAAAAATGTGTGAGAGAAGAAAAAATACAGCGCAACACAGATAAAGCTGCATTTCAAGGAATCTTGCAGTAGTAGCTCTATTTATTCAAAAATATAGTAAAAAAAGGTAACTAAAGGATTTCAATTCGAGATTTTATGAGAATGACAGTTTCTCGCCTTCCTTTGCTACTCTGACCACATATGCTAGACAGGTTAACGGGTGATGGACATAAGCGAAATGAAGATAATGGGGTCCATCAACCGGAGATAAGGAATACGATAGTCCTCGGTCGTACCGTTGGACTACTTAGAGCCTAGTCTGCTTTAGACTAGTTACAACTGACTTATATAGTCAGGTTGTAGCATGTTCTACAATATAATGGCTCAGACAAACTAGTTATACTTACGATGAGTCATACTATGTTTCACTAAGACAGTTCAATATAGGAAGTTAAATTGTATCTTATGCAGCTTGATTCCGTTCTTCAATTTTTTCTTTTTTGAAAACTTGTTCTTTTTTAATATAATTTATCATATTTCCGTTTTGTTTTCAGAAATAGAGAATGTTGCGCTTGTTAAGCGAATTTCAAATAAGAAAGGTAAATTATTACTTTATAATTGAACTCTTTTAATTGCTTGATAAAGAAATTCATTTTTCATGCTTTCAGGTCTCGCATTCGCAACTCTTAACTCAGTAGAACGGTTGAAGCAAAAAGCAATTTTCTACTTAGATGATCACGACACCGCTCTAGCTTGTGAAACTTCGTTCCTAGTAAATATTTTTAATGGTAATTTTTTATTTTTACTTCATGAATCCTATGTTTATTGGACTTTTCGAAAGGAAAATTTAATCTTCCTCGTAATATTTAGGGTTGTAAGCTTGCAATGATGGAATACGTGAGAAAGTTGAAACATACGTCAGGAATCAACATTGTTAATGAGAACAGAGAGAATGCGGTTGGAAACCAGCGCACTTGTAAGACAAATATGACAATTGAGTTTTAAGATTTGTAAACTTTTTTCAGGTTTCATGTCCAGGGGTGGACACAAAATTCTTTATCCATCGACGAGGTCCAAACTAAATTACCATATGCAAGATCGGAAAAAGAATACGCATATTATATACACGGTGAAACTACTAAAGAATAAAATTCATGGATATTTGAAGGAGAGAGATACTGCCCAAGCTAGTGAGCAATCTTTTCAGGTATAAAATTTTCAGAAAAATTTATAGTTAATCGCACTCTTTGCATATTTTCAGGCATGTAAATAAGCCATGATAGAATATGTGAGAAAGTTCGAGTCCACAACACTCATTAAAATTGTACCGGCAAAGATGGATAACCCTTGGAGTTACCGAATTTTCATAAAAACTCAACCGCCTATTGATGCAGAGAGTGGATTCTATCATATCTGAAGATTTACACAAAGGTTGGACGCATGCGTATCGGTATTAAATATATAAGAAAGTTGAAACATACGTCAGGAATCAACATTGTTAATGAGAACAGAGAGAATGCGGTTGGAAACAAGCGAGAACAGAGAGAATGTCTGGAGTTATGAAATGTTCACGAAGTTGTGCGGGATCATAATAAAAAAAGTTGGCTCTCAGCTAGCTAATGAATTACGAAGCGGTTGGAAACAAGCGCAGTTGTAAGACAAATATGATAATTGAGTTTCAACATTTGTAAACATTTTCAGGTTTCATGTCCAGGGAGAATTTGTTCAGACTAAATCTCTCTCTGTTGTTACATAGGAATGGGCTGAATCAGATCTACTTAAATCAGTTTGTTTGTCTTTCAAATAAGACGAATATTCAAAAAAATCAATAGATGTCAATAGTTGTAAAGGAAAAGAAAAAAAAGGCCAACAGATGGCAAACTACAATAATATTGTTGTTTTCAATATAAGGATCTATATATAAAGAAATGGAGAGGGAGAGAGAAAGAGAGAGAGAGAGAGTAAGAGAGAGAAAACCTCTTTTTCATTTCTCTCTCTATCCTTCTGTCTCCCTATGTACTCTGTACTCTTCAGTAATTCAAATGTACTTTAAGAAAGAAAATATAATTT